AAGCCCAGTTGGAAGATCCCCAAATTCAAAAGAACTCATTTTCAATTCCTCTAACACTACTCTACAATTCACTACAGTTCCTAACCCTACTGCAGATGCTACTATTATCTGTGATATATTTACTGGTTTACCCCGCCCACTGGTACCTGTACAATTTTGAAAACTAGTTTTTGACTGACTACATTCGCTTTCACATCCGAGTATTGCTAGTTAGAAACTTATCACAGATAGGTATGTGTGGCCTAATACCGTATAGCGTCAAATTTTCGTGGTTGAAAATTTTCGTGATTCCATTCATTTTTGTTTTCAAGTAAATTTTCGTTAAAAAAATTTCGTGATTTACATAAAATTTTCGTGATGATTAAAACCACGCCTATCCACGTGGCAGCTTAGTCTCGTGGCAGCTAGCCTTGCAGCTGGACTTGGAGAAGAAGCAACATGAGTGGTAGCATTATTCGATATGAATTCCCTTCGTGTATCCGTGGCTATCACGTATACCAAGAAAGGTGGACTCCCTTTATAGGAGAGACTCTTAGCTGTGCTCGAGAAACAAATAACAGGTGTGATCAGTTTGCCGTTAAAGTAATGAAGTCTGGGACAATTGTGGGACATCTGCCAAGGAAGATAAGTTCAACATGTTCGTTATTTCTAAGAAGAGGTGGTAGAATCGACTGTAAAGTTACTGGTGCGAGAAGATATTCTAGAGACCTGATCCAGGGTGGCCTAGAAATCCCGTGTTTGTTGCTCATTGAAGGAGAGCCCATGGTGATTGACAAGGTGAAGCGATTGTTGGTGCTGTGTGATGACGTTTCTGGCTCTGTAGAAAATCCTCCCTCAAAGAAGAGGAAAACAGCTGAAGTAATAGATGTGGATGATTGTGATGAATCTGATGATTCAGAATCTGAATTGGACAGTTGTTGGGTGCATCATGGTCGCTTTAAATTAACAGTAGATGAAAAAGTGATCATTGAGAGCGGCGGCATTTTGAACGACAAGCACATCAACTTTGCACAGCATCTTCTCAAATCTCAGTTTCCAGAGACACAAGGGCTAGATTCTACTCTTCTGCAAAATAGATTAAAACTTAATAGTCACCAGAGTGTTGTTCAGATCCTTCACTCCCGTACTAGTCATTGGATAGTAGTTTCTAATTTACCTGCTGCTGAAGCTGATGGAATGATGTTTGTGTATGATTCAATATACACAGACATTGATGAACAAACAAAAAAGATTATTGGTGACATTTTTGAGGAAGAAAAAGAGATTGTTGTTCCACAAAGCACACAGAAGCAAAAAGGCAGTACAGATTGTGGTGTGTTCTCCATTGCAATGGCAACGTCATTATTACACAGTCAACCCATATCATTTAATCAATCACTGGCACGTTCTCACTTAATTTCTTGCTTTCAAAATCGCCAGTTAACCCCATTTCCTCAATGAGCATTAATCAATTTAACATTTCTGTAACATTTAATTTTGCTGTTATTATTATTGTTTTCATTATCAAAATTATTTATTATTGTTATTTATAATAGTAATAATGATAATGATATTAATTTAATTGTTTAATGATTTTGAACATAGTATTTGATCTAATTAAATGTAATTATGATTTTAGAATATTAAGGATTCCAGCTGCTTTAAAACCATTGATAATGATTTCAGGCTTTGCCTTGAAGTAGTCATACAGTTCCATCATCCAACGAGCCCCAATAGGTTTCATTTCACTCAATTTAAGGTCTATTGGTGTCACACTGCCAGCATCCTTCATTTGCATAGCAACTTTCTCAGCATACCATTCTCCAAATTTTGAACGAAGGAATTCTTTAGCAGGCCTATTTACGCTCACATCAAGGGGCTGCAGTCTGTCGGTGCAGTTGGCTGGTACGACAACATAGAAGATGTTGTTTTCTTCAAGTTGCATCAGTATCTCATCTGTGAATTGACCTTTGAATTCGTCAAAAATCACAAGTGCTGGTTGAGTCCCTGGTAGGCCAAGTGCTGTCCTCTTTTCTTGTACATATGGAACAAGAATAACTTCAAGATAGCTCTTCATCGTTGCTTCATTGCACCAATGGTTTGGTGTTGATGTTACATGCCAAGATGTAGGAAAGTCAACTTTTGGAAGACATTTACCAGTCTTTCCCTGGTAGACCAGCTGGATTGGTAAAAAATCCCCAGGCAATGATCCCCCAAACAAAGCAGTGATCTGTCGTTTGTCATTAAGACCAACAATCTGCACTCTTTTTGAGCCTTTTTCTGCCATAGTCCACTGTGACATTGGCACGTAGTTTATTCCGGTCTGATCCCAGTTAATAATAAGCTCATCAGGGATCTCTTCCATCTCAACGACAGCTTTAATATCAAGCAAATATTGCTGTTTAACCTCTTCAAAATGCTCTACAGTTACTTTTGACTTTGTAGTTCCCTTTCTTTTCACGAACGACATTTTTTCCAAGAAGTACTTTGCCCAATTCTTTTCTAACGTTATATGGCCACCATTACAGGCCAGAGAGGTAGGGTCTCTCTGTTGTATCATCCCCATTGCAGCAGACATCACTATGGCTGTGTTGACAGTCCCTCCAACTTCTCGTAATGCCCGTATGTATGCCATCAGATCTTTCGTTAGCTCCTCTGACAAAAGTGATGGCCGCCCTCGCTTCTTAGGAATCAGCTCCACTACTCTGCCATCTTTACCCTTGGCATGGTTACTCTTTACTTGAGAGACAACACTTTTCTTCCAGTCGTTCACAGTGGACCAATTCAAGTTAGGAAAATCCTTGTTGAAGTGCTTTACTGCTGCTGAGGTGCCATGCTGAACTGCGTAATTACCAATTGTGGCTCTATCACTGGCTGAATACTTGATGTAAGTAGCTCTCTTACTAGTAGTGCTACATGCGTTTGCTTCGATTACCTCGGCAACTTTCTTGTTGGCAGCCTCTATACTCGAAGATGGAACAATTAACGACAAATCTCCATCAGGGGATGGTAGGGTTGGTTTGACTTGCTCCTCAATGGGCTTGACAACTGGCTTGAAAAAACGATACAATGCCATGATGATAGCTTAGAAATATCTAATGCTTACACGTGGAAGATGGGACACGCCTACATTTATATCAAAATTAAATTTCGTGAAAAATATTTTCGTGATTGTCCATTCAATCATGAAAATCACGAAAATTTTCAACCACAAAAATTTGACGCTATACGGTAGATGTCCATTCTGTAAATAGCTCTCATTTCTATCTGACCAAACCACTGTCAAACTATTATTTTACGTACATTTTATCTGAAAACCTAAAATTATGCATGCCACCAAGAGGTCCTTGTGCCACTAAATTTATTTATTATTAAAGTCAAATCTTTGTGCTTCTTTTTTCATTCTTTAAATGATCTTGACCCCTCAAGGTCCATCTTATTTGCCACAGTAGCTTTTACATGATCCAAGATGGCTGTCTCGACTAATGATGCACTTCCTAGACTTTGTCCATCTTCCTTTGGCCGCCTGAACGGATTAGCAAGCAATGCTCTACGTGAGACACGAATATGTCCTATAGAAGAAATCCTAAAATTACTTGAATATCAAAATTATGCAAGAGTGGTAAACCCTAAATAAATATGTTATAATTACATTAATAGCTATGAGGTAAAGTAGCAAAAGCAAAAGAAATAAAAAACTACTGTACATGCATTAATCCATACCATGTGGATCTCTTCCAAAGTATTTAACTGCTATCTCTTGTCCTAGTTGCAGTCCAAGGTCATCAGGATGAGACACTAACTTGTGATCCAATTGGGCCAAGAATACCATTGCCCTGTCCAGTGTTGGTATCATTTCAATCAGTACACCTGATGGCTTGATGTCTATTATTCTAGACTTGTACACTGCACCAATTTCTAATTTGGCTCCAGATTCACAATGGTCAGAACAATATAATAACGTATTTATTTTCTCTGTTACTTCATTCATTGCTAATTGTGTTGGAGCAAACACAGACATTGTCTCATCATCTAGTTGCCCTATATAGACACCTGAAGAGGTGGAAGGAAATGAGAGAGACAGGGGTAATAGTATGTACCTGTCTCCTGCATCAATGCTTTTATCCTATGTCCTCCAGAACCAACAAGCATCCACCTCTTTGAAGATGGAACATGTATAGTTTCTAAAACAATACTGAAACAATTACATCATATTGATATCATTATGCTACATGTATGGGAGTGCAAAATATAGCTACATGTGTAATAGCCATGTATAACGATCAGTACATGCTTACCATAAACTGGAGTGTTTGATTTAAGCTGTTGTCGTGGTTTTGATTGACAATCATCCATTTTATCAAGGACTCTGTGCCTAGCCTCTTTAAAAGAGAAATAGAAGTACTAAAGCAAAATCAGAAATATAGCACCTTTTGAAAGCATAAATGCATTCGCAATGATGTCATATGGTAGTCCCTCACAGTCTTTTATATCAAGCTATAATATAATAATAACAACATCAATAATAATAATATAATACTTGAAATGAAGTTATTCCATCTCTTGTTCCAGCAACCTTGAAATCCATATAACCAGCAGCATCTTCTATACCCTATAAGCATACATGCTGTACAGTACACTTAAGGCTGTTTTAAAATAGTATGCTAGTCCTGATGTTACATTGATGCTGGAATAGAATCTAGTTCTATTCTAGTGGAAAGCATGCATCAAAAGGTCAAATTGCCCACAATTTTGATTAAAAATTGTGGTCTAGCATCATGTAGTAAGTAACCAGCCTTAATACTAACACAGAGTGCATTAACTTACAGAAAGATCACTTAAAATGACATAATCAGTTCCGTCCATCATGAGTCCACAGGCAACACCAGCAGCTGGTTTTGACATTGGGACTCCTGTATGATACAATAAATAAAGAATGGAAAAGTAGTGGGATTGCAAACTGGTGCAGTAAAAATTCTAAACCACTGCAAAGATGAAGGCTTAATAATGTTATAATGTAGCAGTCTGTGTGCTGAGATAATGTGATTTTTTACCACACCAGTTTGTAAGTAAACTCTCGTTTCTTTACTTTATCCTCAATTTAAACCTACTAATTTTCCATTTTTAATGTTTTCAATACTTGTTTTCAATCTTTTTTCTTAAAATGATAAAATTACATCACTGTGGTTAGGTTAATCAATATTTATGCTGATCACATGTGCAAAATTGAAATGGCATCAAACAACAAGCCTGCACAGTTCTGCATTTGGATTTCGTCTTTAATTTTGTTCCGTCTTTCTTTTTGAAACAACCTTTACAGTCCTTCACTGAAGCTTATAGTATAGTGTGTGGTTGCATCAATGGCAACGCCAGTGCTGCATATCTTATACAGCACACTTGCAGTTCATACAGCACACTTCTGGTTCATACAGCACAGTTTGTGGTTTCCTGTTGTATAAACTGTGACCGCTCCCCACTAAGAGCCACACGAGGTAGAAGACTCCGCAAGCAGATAGTCCAGTTACTGCAGTCTCTATTCAGTCTTTTGGTTCTCTTTAGGCTATTCTTCACTTGGCCTTGGGCTGGTGCCTTTAATGCACCCATGCACTATGACCATAAACTTGTAAAGCACAGTTCCCCCTGTGCTGTACTGGAAATACTGCACGGGGAACTGTGCTTTAACTAATACTTAAAGGAATGATTTAATGCCAATTCGAGTGCTTTGCTGGCTGAAAAATTTCTCACAGTCAAGTTTAAAAGTACAAGAAAAATTAATTGCTCAGTGTAGGGGAGTTCATCTAAGCCACTTATAAGGCTGGAAAACATAAGACAAAAGAGTTGTGTTTGAAAATCATATAAACAACTCATGAATAATTCTCTTTGATGTTTTGAGGACTAATGAGGTATTAAAATTGTGTAAATCCCAGGGCCGAGCCGCGGGGCCAAGAAGCGTACACGTTTGTTTTCACAAATTTTGATTAAAATTTCAAAAGCTATTATTATAGTAATGGAAAAAGGTCTGCCGGCTCTTCTTCCACTATGCCTTCAAGAATATAACATTCCTCTTGCTCTTCCACACAGCAGATAACCCACCAGAGAGATCTTCACTGGTGCCACCGCGTCATGATCCAGCGGGCTCAGAGTTTGGCTCCATCGTCGGTCAAAGCCATCCTAGGGTCATATTAGCGTGAGGTTTGCTCGGGATAACTTCATCCAGTCACTTCTTCAGCCTTCTTGACTAAGGAGTATTCCAAGCTGCCATTACTGCTCTATAATCTGCCGCAATGCCCCTGCGCATTGCAACACGTGGCAGTGGTTGCATCATTGTTAACAATGCGGCCGCATAGCTATAATAGCATTCGTTGTTTATATCGGTTTAACACCTCCTAGTTGGGATTACAAAATTTTAAACCCTCGGGCTTTGCCCTCGGGTTTAAAATTTTGTAATCCCTCCTAGTCGGTGTTAAACCTACATAAAAAGCTGCTATATTGAAAAACCAAACTCAATCCTTGATATAGGCTACAACAAGAACACTTAAGTGCAGACCTTTGCCACAATTCAACTATAATTATCATCGGCAGTGCAGCAGAAAGTAGTTTGCTTAATTACATGAATAGTTGTTACCAGACCTGGGGTCAATTACAAAAGCTCAATTACAAATTACACATTCAATTACACTCCTTTTGTTTAAAAAGACTCAACTAAAATTACAATTACACCATCCATGATAGTCTAATTTCAATTACAATCTGATGTAGTTGTATTATAATAACAAAATTTTGCAGTGCTTACACTGTGCATTAAAAAAAGTTCTTTTTGTACTTTATAGTTATCAAGTACAACCATAGACACTAGAGTACATTAGGAACATTTCTTTGTATATCTGTACATTCTGTAGTTAGTTAACTCAAATATAATTGAAATTACAATTACATAAGTTTAGGCTTAATTACAATTACAATTGTAATTGCCCCCCGGTCTGATTGTTACTGCAATGTGTAAGAAGTTGTTTCTAAATGGATCCGGAACTCTCTGTGTACTATTGTAATTATATATTATGTGTTTATTCAAGTATATTCTAGAACAATCATGTAAAGTATTCTTGTATGTTATAGAACCTTCTGGACATTTATAAGATCTATATAAGTGTGTTGTTTGTGAGTTTTAGTTTTTAGTTGTGTGTTAGTTGTGAGTTAGTTTTGTTAGTTGGTTTTTGAGCTCAGTTGAGTTTCGTGTTGATTAAGAAATAAGTTTGGTGAACAGATAGCTAGGAGCGTCTGTTACATTTTTTGGTGGCAGCGGTGGGATAGTTCTCAAACGGTTGTAGAGGAAAGACCCACTATTGTATCTCTGCAAGAGAGAGAGACTAAAGTTTATAGTGTCTGGTGTGACTGTTTATGTCGGATAACAGTCGAGAGAATCAAGGGCGGTATTCTCTACGGGACTTACCAAGACACGACTACAGAGGACAGTTGCGAGGATTACATATTTTCAGAGAGAGTTATACTTCAGTTGATATGGAAGACTGTACTGAAGTGGAAGAAAGTCTTATAACAGGAGTTAGTGATCCGATGGAGCAATTAGCGGCAGCTTTGGCAAGTTTAGCAAAGCTTCAGGAGGAGGCCCAGAGACAAGCTGAAGAACGTCGTCGAGAAGAGGAGCGACGGCGAGAGGAGCAAGCTGAAGAACGTCGTCAAGAAGAGGAGCGACGAAGAGAGGAGGCTCAGAGACAAGCTGAAGAACGTCGTCGAGAAGAGGAGCGACAAAGAGAGAGACATTATGAAGAGATACAGGCCATGCAGGAGCAGCATATGCAGCAGATAGAGATTATGAAAGGAGTTCTAGCAGAAAGAGAAGGGAATAGTCCTCATTTAAAAATATCACCATATCAAGAAACGGAGGATATCCAAGACTTCATTGAAGCATTCGAAGGTATTATGAAGATACAAGGGGTGAATCGGACAAATTGGATTCTACGCCTGACACCGTTACTAAGTGGCAAGGCTAGAACTGTTTGTACTGATCTTGGAACCACTACTGATTATGATGGAATCAAGAAAGCTATTTTGGAGCATTATAACATCAACACAGAGAGGTGTAGAAGAAAGTTCAGGAGTCATGTTTGGACAAGAGATCAAGACCCAACTGATTGGATAGCTAGAGGAGTCAAACTGGTGAAGAGATGGTTAGTACCAGAGAATGGAATGGAACAGGTAGTTAACAAGATTGCAGTAGAGCAGCTTTTAAATGGGTTACCACAAGAGATGAGAATCTGGGTAACTTCTCAGAACCCAGAGACACCAGAGAAAGTTGGAGAGCTTATTGAATCTTATGATACAGCTCATAGTTGTTTACCACAGAGGAATAGACCAAAGCAGGATTATGGTCGGTCAAAGGAGTTCCCAAGGAAGACTGAAGGATCTACTGGAAACAAGAAGGAGAGAAAGTCACCTTCAGAGATTACCTGTTACAAGTGTAATCACAAGGGGCATATAGCAAGAAATTGTACGGAGAAAACTCTACGAGCCAAAGAGAATGCAGAGGAAGTCATTTGGCATGGAGAAGGAAAGATCAATGGACACAATGTGAAGCGAATTCAGATAGACAGCGGAGCATCAAGGACTGTGGTTGATAGGAAGTTTGTAGCATTGAAAGACATAGAGAAGGAGACGATTGGAGTTACTTTTGGGAATGGAACTTATGGGGAGTATCCACTAGCATCAGTTCGGATAACATTTGATGGAGAGGATTACCAGGTGAAAGCAGCAGTAGTACAAGGACTAGCAGAAGATGTGCTGTTGGGAAGGGATGTACCACTACACAAACATATGGCAAAGCGACTACCAAAATCAGAACAGATAGAGCTACTGAAACAACTGGCTAAAGAGCATCAGATTGATATTGAAGAGATTAAAGAGTCAGAAGATGAATCAGCATTAGCAGTGATGACAAGAGCTCCGAAGAGACAGATTCAAGTTGATACGGAGCAGCATTCAGAAGAGCATCAGCCATTACCCGAAAGATCAGAGGAGCAAAGTGAAGCCATGGAGCAAGAGACAAGAGAAGAGAGTGAACTGGAGGAGACAATACTGGAAGATGAAGATCTAGGAGTACAGTTTCCATTTGAGGAGGAGCTATTTCAACCTACAACTCGGACGAAGATATATCAGACTAGAGGAGAGAAGAGAAGACAAAATCAGAAGAGAAACAGAATAGAAAGTACCAACCAGACTAAACAACTGATAATGGACCAGGAGAAAGATTGCGAGATTCAGTCATGGATAAAGAAGGAGGATCCATCACGTATAGTTCGGAAGGAAGGAGTAATTTGTCGTACATGGAGACCCAAGGACTCACCAAGTACCACATATGAACAGATTGTTCTACCAGCACAGTATCGGAATAAAGTCATCAGGTTAGCACATGATTTACCATTTTCAGGACATCTGGGTAGAGACAAGACAACCCAAAGGATATTAAGGAGGTTCTATTGGCCTACTTTATTTAAAGATGTGAGACTCTATTGTGAAGCTTGTAAAGATTGCCAGCTACATGCAAATCACAAGAGGAAGGCTCCAATGATACCTTTACCCATAATAGGAGAACCATTTAAGAGGATTGCCATGGATATTGTAGGACCGCTACCAAGAACCAGTCGTGGAAACCGATTCATTCTAGTGATAAATGATTACGCAACAAGATACCCAGAGGCATTTCCTTTAAGGAATATTACTGCAAAGAAAGTAGCTGAAGTGTTGATTGAGTTATTTGCTAGATATGGAATTCCTGAAGAAATATTGACAGATCAAGGTTCAAATTTCACATCAAGCTTGCTGGGAGAGCTATATCATCTCATGGGGGTCAAAGCAATCAAGACCAGTCCATACCATCCACAGACTGATGGCCTCGTGGAACGATTTAATCGAACACTAAAGTTTATGCTAAGGAAAGTATTGGAAGGAGAGAGGAAGAACTGGGACCACATGATACCATATGTCTTGTTTGCATATAAGGAAGTTCCACAATCGACTCTTGGGTTCAGTCCCTTTGAACTACTATATGGACGGGAGGTGAGA